CCCCCCTTTACACTGTGCTAGCAGTCGCTGGATGATGATCAGGTAACACGTTGCACATGTCAGTCCTTACCAGGCAAGGAGTTAATTCCTATAGACTTAACCCCCTTCATGCCGTTAGGTTTCATAATGTGTGTGTTATTTGCCATGATATTTATTTGGATTAATAGTGGAGTGGTTTCCTGTTGCCATCTCCATGGTGGTTTTTGAAGACACCACCTTTAGTTAGCTGGCCATTGACCCATCGAGAGTTCTTCCGCCCTTTGTTAGGCCTTATTTTTCATCCTACTGGCTTGCTAACAAGATGTATCACTCACAAGAACATGGAGTGGGGTAGCCGGTTTAGTTGCCGACATTCTTACTGTGGTACATTTACCATATATGTTAAAAAATAAAATAAAAAAATAAAAAAGGAGGCCCCCATCCACCAAATCTGTTTGCAAGTAAAATGTGGGTCAGAGTTAGTAAGGAGGCAGAATAGAATAAAATGATTAAATTTTAACTTAGTAGAATTCCAATTACCCACTATTAGAATAATACGCAATTGAAATGAACAGGCCCAAAACAGAAAAAAAAAAAACATTCCCAGTTAACGTCATACTTACAATTGGAATTTCATATTAATCTTGCTAACCTCAACCCAATGGTCATTTGTGGCAAACTCTATAAATACATCTCAATTTCAGAAACCAAATGCAGTGGGTTGGATGGGTTATTGAGGTGGGGGTCCAAACAAAAACATGGCAAAGTTACATGCGAACAAAATTTTTACTGGGTGAGCTGATGTTCTTTGCACTTAATGCAAAACATCAGGTCATTTTACAAGGTTTATGTAGAGTGCTTGATAGTTTCCCTGCGACATTACCTTCACACAAAAAAATTGAAAAACAAAAAAGAAAAAAAAAAAGAGGAAAAATAGTGTTTTTCGTGCTACTTAAAATAAAAATTTGAATAACTTTCTCACTTTTTTAGCTGATTTTCTTCAAACATGTTGCAAAAAATTTGCCATCATGCAAGAAATAAGATAGTGTGGTTTTAGTCTTGCTCATCTCTCTGCGTATAACAAAAAACTTTTCAAAAAGCCTGTTTTTCAGGCTTAACTCCCTGGCTTTTTATCCAATGCTTTCCTGATTTGATGACACACAAATTGTCTTGTGTGAATGTTTGGTTTAGTTTATTTCAGTTAAGTGGATGAAATCTGCAACAAACTAGGTCCAAAATCAGTGTTTGCCATTTAGCCAATAGTTTCTTCATATGATTCCATCCTAAATTGGCATTCGAACAACTTTTGATGCAAAGATTGTTTGAGAAGGATTATTGAAGCATTAAAAAGGGAAATATCTTGAACAATCTTCTATTAACCCCAGCTTTACAGTAAACATGCGAAGAAGGAGGGGGGTGGCATTCATGCATTTGCACTTGAATCAAGCTCTGACACTTCATCCCTGTTTTGGTTTCATTATTAGATTTATGAACAATGTCATACTATTTGAAAGTTATTACAGCCATAGGAAATTTACTGAATATCCGAAACATTGAAACAATTTAACCCTGAGCAACGACCACAAAAGGAGGTTTTATCAATGAAATTTCTTTATTAAAGAACATTCAAACACTTGTGAAGCAGATACTGTAAAAAAGATGGGAGGGGGGGATGGTAGCTTAGTATATCAACGGATGATGCATGCAAGCAGGGATGCAGGCAGACATTTCTAGAACAGAGGTGGTGGTGTATACAGGGGTGTGATTATACAATTGCAGCCATGTACACCTGAGCAACAACAGGTACCTTGGCTAGTGTGTGTGTGTGTGTGTATATATATATATATATATATATATATATATATATATATATATATATACACACACAATTGAAATTTAAACATTAAGCTAACAAGTCTGAAAGAAAAAATAATTTCCCAAATAATGTCAAGGAAAAAAAAAAAGTGTGGCGGACTCTATAAATACATCTAGATTTCAGAAACCAAATGTAATGGGTTGGGCCGATTAGTGAGGTGGTGGTCATAGTCACTTGATTTTCTCCTACTCATCTTGAAAGGCAAAATGTAGTTCTGCAAATTTTTAATGAGTACACTATTTAGGAAAACAAATAATTTTGTTGAAGTTGCAGAATATAAAAACTTATTTTGTACTTGGTGGACTATACTGAATGTAAAAACACCATATAAAGGTTGTCAGCTTAGATATAAATATTGTAATCCACTTAGAGCAAATGAAGAAAATTTTAGATTCTGTCTGTATTCTGTGACTGGTTAAAATTTTGGAATAGTATTTCTGAAAGAAATGGCAAACTAACAAAGGAAACCTTCACTGCTTTGTATCATACAACCTATGCATTTCTAGAAGTATTTCTGACCAAGTATTGCATAGAAGAATTGAAAATATCATACATATTACCTGGCAAATTTCAAACAGATCACCTTGAGGTGGGGTTTGGCCAGTACTGGCAACTTAGTAGGGTTCAGTTTAAAATCTTGATATGGCAATTGTTTGAGTGTTGGAAAAAAAAAATCAGAATGCTATCAGTATTAAAATTGAGCATACCATTTAATCAATAATATATTAAAATTGATTCAAAGAATTTACAAGAACCAAACTGGGATGAAGTGTCAGAAGATCAAAAGTTAGATATGTATAAAGTTAGATATGTATAAATTTAGAATTGATGTTAAATAGGATGATGTTAATAAATGCAGATAAGTTCTTCCTGTTATACTATATTTAGCAGGTTATTGCTGTTATGCAGTTTTTAAGAAAATTAAATGCAATAATTGCAAAAATTTAATATCTGGAAGAGATAATGTAGAAGAAATACCTGAAATAAACAGCTATTTTCAGGAAATTAATAGTGGTTATCTTTTATATTATAATGAATGATACAACTATAAATTTTGTTCTATATAATTATGTAGTCATTTGGTAAACTGAAAAAAAAAATTATTCTTTTATTCATTCAGTAAATCAAAAGAAATTAGCCATGCACATAACATTGAATATTTTGGCAGATTATGAGGTAATTTTTAATGTTGACATTTGTGATGAGGGATACAGTATAGAAAAAATAGAATGATTATTTGGAATTCTACAAATTAGAATAATGAAATATTTTTGTTATTAGGGAAAATAATAAAATTACTTGTAACAAGTTAAGCAAAAAAAAAAAAAAAAGAAAACTTGCTAAATTCTAAATCTGTAACATATTTTTCTATAATTTCTTTATTTTTAAATCTATTTATTTGCTTGTTTATTTGTTATATAGATCTCATTTACTTGTAATTTGTCTTTATTTACTTATTGCCAGTTTGTTCCCTAATTCAGTTTTGCCGATTGTAATAATTATTCTGTAAAGTTACAATTAAAATAAAAACATGCAAGTTAAAACAATGCTGATTATAATAAAAAATGTTTTAAAATTTGAAACAAAATAATGAACAAATTTCAGACTTTAAAATTTAATGAATTGTAACGTGATGTTTAACTTATTTACTTTCATGCAGCATTCAGCAACTTTTTTTTTTTTTTTTTACTATTGTTTTTTTTTTTTTTACATGAATATTAAATAAAGACCAGTATAAAATGCAACTCTGTTTCTTTTTTAAATGTAATTTTAAAAAGTTTTCTTGAACTTTTTTTGGTTTACAATTATTCATTATCTACATTATGATTACTGCCTGTCTTGCTAAACTCATGGACTATCTTTGTAATGTCACGTCACAATTGAGCAGGCCTCCTTTTTTCGGCAGTCTCAGTTTGAGACCCTCACTAACAAATTCAGGAGTTCTTTTTTTATCAGAATGATCAGAGTGAGTTTTCTGAGCTCCCATGCTTTCATAATCACTATTACACTTATCCATCTCTTTCTGAATACTCTGCACTGTCCTCAGATTGACACACAAACACTGAAATGTTTGTATTGAAGCTTTTGGCATGAATGCAGTACAGTACAGCATGCTGTTTTTAAATATCTGGTAGAATGAATTGCATCACGGTGCTCTGTTTCTCACAGATGGTGAGAAACTAACCCTACTACAACTGTGCACTCAACAATATCAAAAACAAATGTCATGCATGCATGAAATGAAAAATATAAAAATAATATTTTACCCATCACACTTATTTTTAGATTCAGAGCAGATTTTTGGTAAAACAAGGTCCGAGTTTGAAAGAAAAATAAAACAAGTAACATTGGTGATTTAAATTCTTCAAGCAATTCTACTTTTAACTAATATAATCACTAAAAATTATCACATTGAATTTCTCAAGTTTTTATAAAATCAATTAAGTGGGTGAAACACCTGTAAAACAAAAACAAAAAAAAATGTTTGCCGAGATTTTCTAATAATTTAATTCATTTGTGGATAAATCCTGAAAATTTGACAGGGAAGTAATGGATAGCGTCTCAGAATGAGGAATTGGAGAGCAGAGTTCAAATTCCAGTAGAATTTGTTATATTCAAATTTATATGCAAATACTGTTGGGAAAGGTATGAATCTATCTCTTCTCTCCCCAGTTTTGGGTAAAAAGCAGGACAGACTGGGTCCTATAGCTCTGAGTGGAAACTGGTCTCGGAGAAAGACAACCCGGACTTCAAAACCTGAATAGTCAGTGACTAAACCAGGTCTCCTTGGTTTGGTGAGGAGGGTAAGTGAAACTCCAGCAGCATAAAAAGCAAGAACCTATAAATGGCAGATAGACACCTTAGAGTTAATGATCGTTCACATCAACTATGGTTTAATAGCCCCACAAATCTAAAATTTTTCCAAGTATGGCTACACCCCTGAAGATATGGTCAATCAAAGAGGGATTCCTCCAAAAGGAGTGAGTAGGCCTTGAATTTGAAAACAAGTATTGAATTTGTAACTGAATTTGAAATATACAAAGTCTCATTTAAAAAAAAAAAAAAAAACTTTTTAATGCTGAAGTGTAGTTCTTTGGTTAACAGGAAATTTTAAAATGAATGGCACTAATGTTTGCCTACTTACTCCTCAAAGGCTGCTCTGTAGGTGCAGGACTAGTGTCTTCTCTTTCATTGCAGTTTTGTTCATCTGACTGATCAACACAATCAGACTTGCCATTACAGACTAGCAACTTATCTGACAGACAACTGGAATCATCACAGTAGAATGTGCATGCATCTGAAACGACAATAACAATTTATGTAAAATAGACAAATTTAATTCAGTTTCTTTCAAATTATGGCTTACACAACAAAAAAAAAATAAAAAAAAAAAAAGGGGAAAAAGGATTGAGAAGAAAAAAATGTTCATATTTTCTTTATTAACAAACGGATGATATTAAATACATTCCCTTAGATATAACATCAACAGAAGAAATTGAACTTTGTTCCTTTTACTGCAACAAAAATTGAGCAAGTGCCATAAGAAAGTGATTTTCAAATAACACTATACAGATACAGGTAAGATTTTTTGTTTCTTACAGAGAGAAACCTATATAAAAATGTTGGGTTAATTGTATACATGATATATTAGATCAAACTGAAACTTGTGTAGAGTTGTAAGTAGAGGATTTGATTCAAATATGCAAAAGGCTACATGTAGTTATGCAACTCAAATAAAAATAGAAAAATGTGTTTTTGGAAAAAAAAAAAAAAGAAAAAAAGAAAGGAGATAAAAACAGTAATGCACTAAAAACTATAGTTCACTAGCAGGATTTTGGTCTGTTTTGTTTTATGGCATATCAACGTTAATGGGTTATTTAATGCTGACAATATTTTGTTCTGTCAAAAATCTATTTCTAGTAATAATTTTTTCCTTCAAAAATGTACTGCTGGTAATAATTATTTTTTTCCATAATTTATTGCTGATAATATTTTTTTTTTACAAGTATTTCTTGTAGTAAAACCTATTTTTACACTTTCATAGTGTTTTTACTCCAGTTTCAGGGTTAACTACTTGCCCATTGCTGGGACCCTAACAGGTGCTACCACCCAGGGTCAGGGTGGACCTGGGAACACCAGCAATTAAGAGGTGGTTCAACGCTCCTCAAAACCTCTTGATCAGAGGCCTTGCTGCTGGACATAGTTTATCATCTTACCCAGGACATAGATGTAGTTTATAGGCATACGCAGGACGCAGCAGGATTTTGAGTATTTCCAAAAGCGTGTATCTAAAATATAACTGTAGATTTAGACAATTTTCCAACTGAAAGTAAATGCTTGAAATGAAAATTAAAAACAAATTTCAAATTTTTTATAACTCTTTAATTTATATTAAACAACATTTGACAAAATGTCAGATATTTGAAATAAGACAAATAAAAACAATAGCTATTTAGTCTATTCTAATTGCTATGTAGAATTGAAATAACAATTCAAAGTATATAAAACATTATCCTGAAAAGTATATTGCTTTATATAGTTATAAGTTAAAATTTATGACTTGAGAAGACATTTCTAAACATAGAAAAATATCTAAGACACTACCATCATGTAATCCAATAGCATATATTTTAAGGTTTTTAGCCTAATAGTGTAATTTGTATGAATAGGCTTGTACTACGTATTGTTTTAATCAAAGTATAATGAATTTTAATTTATAAAACTTTTAAAGTTAAAACACTTAAAAATATTTTGAATGCTTTTCAGTAATTAAAAAGAGTTCAGTTGAAAGTTTTTATTTCAAAAAGATTCACCTGATATTTTTCTGAAGAATAATTTTTCTGTGATGAAAATTCCAAACAAGATGTCAAAGAATAAATCACAAATTATTTAAAATTTATCTTTTTTTGTGATTGTGGTGGATAGGGAATAAATCAGAGTTTCAAAACCAAATGAATTAAGAGGGGTACTAAAAAATTCTTGATCAAAACAAGATGGGAATAGCCAAGAGTTATGAAATTTTCTGTGTATAAGCACTGTATATTAAATCTCTGCTTTGCACTTCAATGTAATCTTAAAAAGAACATAGTGAATTGAGAAACTGACATTGAACATGTAGTATTGATTCCTATGTCCATCTCACTCTCTCTGTATATATATATATATATATATATATATATATATATATATATATATATATATATATAATACCTACCTGATTTTGAACATGGCTCTTCTGACCCAATAAATATAGCAAATTTTAACACTTACATTTTGCTGAATGTGACAGGCAAGTAAAATTTTATAAGTTTTTTTTTTTTTTATTCGATAATAATAATAATAATTCCCTTGTTCATCATATATATAATAGAAAGACTGATGTCCAAATATATATTTGGTCATCAAAATATTCTGCTGTTATCACTTCCAAATCATTTGAAATTTTCCTTTTCAAATTCCTTTTGGAAAAAGGACAGATGGTTAATTCACTCAAAGCACAAATTCTCCAAAATGCCTATCATTTTGTCAGCCTTGTGAACAGGTGTATTGTCCTGCAAAAAGAAAACATTTTCTATAGCACCCTGCCCACACCCATCATTTTTCAATTCCTCCTTTAATTGGCACAAGTTAGAGTAGTACTCTGCATAGTTTGGCCCTTCTGAAGATAGCCATAGATTTAGGGATAAAAAAGTTATTCTGATGAATGAATTTTCCAGACTTTTGGGTGTTGAATTTTTTCAGTTATAAAAAATACTAGCATAGTGGTATGACCAGTTTTTATAAAGTTACATATTGTTCCAAAATTTATCACTAGATCACAATAAATTCTGCAAAAATCAATCTGGAGATGTCTATTCAATATTGTTTTTGGTCAGCATTTAAATATTTTAGTGCCAATGTCATCTTCTGCAAATTCAAATTTCACAAATTAGAAACTCAACATATTCTTTAGATATCTAGGGTCTGAGCAATTTCTTTGGTTGTCAATTGTCCAAAATAAAGTCATCAATATGATTAGTAATTTCAAGAGATGACAAGTGAAGGTACACTATGCTGTATCTCATGTTTTAAAATCTCTAGCACACCAATTCTTTCCATTGGAGTATGATAGACAATTTATGGCTCAATGTTTGTATATTCATGGATTTTATTTAGTATGTTTTTTTCTTTGAGAACAAATATTACATGATAGTTTGAAATTCAACTTCAAATTCTACAAGCTTCAATCAATGATATGAAACAAATAAAAAATAAAACAAGGATCATGCAAATTGTTACAAGATAAAATACTTTTCCAAAAAATAGTATGAGATAACTCAAATTTTAGGAAGTGGGTCAGGTCAACATTTAACCACTCTCTTGTAAATTAAGTTAGTCTTAATTTGAATGGAATGAAAACATTTTGGAGTGTGATCATGAAAATAAAAGCCAAAAGTTATTTTATAATGGAAACAATGTGATTTTGATGCGTTAACCCAAATATAGTGGTGGAGGTAACTCTTTCAAGACCTAAATTACATACCAAATTTGGCATATATAACATCATGTAAGACTGATAGGTATTACATTTTACTTAAAGATGGTCCTAAACTGTGCAAAACTAAATAAGCAGCATCTAATCCAAGTTATTTCATATATCCATATTTCATTATTTAGAGAAGAAAAAAAAAAAATAATATATACATATGAAATACTTTACATACAAATTAAAAATGGCCACAAGGTCTTAAGGACCTAACAGATAACAAATGTAAACATTTGTCTTGTGGTTGATTTACAAGTATCTAAAAAAATGAAACTTATGTTTGATTATTTTATCAGGGATTTTAGGAAGTGCTTTAACTTTTCAGCAGCCACTCTTGTAAAATATTTTACATGCTCTTGTAAATCACCTTTTATTTACAAGCGATTTCTTTTTTCTTTTTTTTTTGTTAAATCCAGCTTTTTTTATTATAAATTAATCATAATCCAACATAAGGAAAATATTGAATTCTTTTAAATGCAACATACATGTAACTTAAAAATAAAAGTCAAAGTCCTAGTTATGATTCTTCCTAAATTAATTATCTGTCTGTGATTAATTTATATACAAGGGGTAGGGTAACGAGCATACTCAAAGGTTATTGGCTTCAATATATAACAATATATAAATTTTACATATCACAAACTGTTTAGGAGGAAAGATGTATGTCAAACTTACTGTGGATGAACTAGTGATTAATGCACTTTCTAAACATTGTCTTAGTGAATTATTTTCTCTTTTAATTAGAGTAGCATTTTTCATAACAAATTTGTGGTCAGTCTTGTTATGGTGGACAACTAAGACATTTTGTATTTTTTTTTTAAATGCCTCATGTGTTCATGTAATCTTTTATTTAAACTTGAGGTGTCTGCAATATGTTCTTTCCAGCAATCCTTGTAGGTGATAGAGTAAATCCTTCCAAGTTTTGGCTTTGTTTTAAGTCTTATTGTTTTAAATGTAGTTCCAACATTTTATGTTCAGTTTAGATAAATTCTTTTTGATTGTAATAGAGTTAGTGGGTAGAACATATTTTTGGATTCGTTAGAATATTTTATGAGCATTTTGTTTTGAATTGAATATGAAATACTTAGGATATTGGAGTGTCTTGAAAGTATTTTCAATGTATTTCTCCTCTTCATGTAAATATTGAGGGCTGAAGATTCTGAGTGCTCTTAAGTAGAATCCGATGTTTATTCCAGATTTTGTTATGATTTTGTTATGATGGGAATAGAAATTTATTAAATTATTAGTTTATTTTTGGTGGACACTAAGTTTTAAGCTGCTGCCAACACTGTGCAGCATGATATCTAGGAAAGGTAAAGTATTATTTTCTTCCAGTTCATATGTAAATTCTATTGTATGTTCAACTTTGTTTAATTTATCTATAAGATCAGGTAAATCAATATCACAGAGATGTATTAATAGAGCATTATCAACATACTGGAAGTATGTTGATTGTTTAGGTAAAATACCCTGGAGAGGACCAGATTTGAGAAATTCTAAGAAAATACATGCCATTACTCCACTAAGAGATGATCCTATTGGTAATCTCAATTTTTGATTGTTATTTTAGCTACTGGTAGGGAGAGGTTTATCTTTGATTATGTTAGATGCTTTTACTAAGAGATTTAGGCATTTTTCAACTGAGTGTAAAGCAATTTTATATCTCCACTGGCCATGAGTCAGTAATATTTGTTTTCCTTAGTTTTACAATTAGATTGCCTGATTGTTCCAAGGAGAGGGGGTTAAAATTTTTGTTATGGCTTTAGCCTCTTTGTTGAGGGTGCTACCTATTTCTGAAATAATGGGGCGCATTGGGATGCCTATTTTGTGGGTTTTAGGAAGACTGCAAAGTTTGGGTATTCTAGGGTGCTATTTTATTAGTCTATTCCATGATTTGTTTTCATTTTTAATTAGTTTCCTAAATGCCTTGTTAAATTTGTTTCAGTAATTATTTTTTATTCATTTATTTTTTTTATATGTGTCAGTATCATTTAGTAGTAAATTGATTTTTCATAGCATGAATTATTTATTATGACAATCCCACCTCCATGCAAATACATCATTGAAGCAAACAAGATGAAATGAAAAAAATTACATTTCAATTACTTCATATCACTTCAGATATTCATAGGTATAGGAGCAATGATATTGGCTTTTTTTTTTTTTTAAAACCATAGATTAAAATTAAAAAATTCCATTCTTCAATGAGAAGTCAATATAATTCTTTCTCAGCATCAAAAGTTCTGGGTTTATTCTTTCAAGTTACTTTAGCAAAACCGAATGAAAGCATTTTCTATTTTAACAAAAGTTATATTATTAGTGTACATATCGACAAGTGTCATATTCAGAAGACAATCAATACAAATAATTCTTTTGCCAACTTTAATAAGAAAAGACAAATTTTTGCCTATGATGATGGTTATTCCAATTAGAGAAACTACTAGAAATCATCTTTGAAGTTGTAATAAAATTAAAAGGATTCATAATGTTTACACTGAAATCATGTTTTAAAGAAAATATAAAGCTTTATGTTTTTCCATGAAAAGTACAACTTTTCTTTGCATTTTGTCATTTAAGACTTAATTTCAGGACATCCCTAACCACTTAGCATTTGTAAAGAAGGAAGAATTGAAACATTATTATTATGAAAAAATAGAATTTTATATGAAAACCAAGTCATAAAAATACTTTATTGATCATTATGAACTTGATTTTGTTATTTGTAATTAAAAAATTTCAGTAGTGAAACTTTATATGATACCAAGATTAGAGAGTGGCATAATTATGCTATGTATCTGTTTATCAATAGAAAACAGAAGACAAAAGGCAGATATAAAAAATAGAAAAGGAATGATTATTTGTTGTTGTTTAAGGTGGTAAACATTAAATGAATCCTGCTTAAATTTTTTTTAGTTTAGTAATTGATGCAGTTGTCCATTGACTGAAAGTGTCCAGTTTGATCGATTCCTTTTTGCATGCAATTTCTTATTTTGTTTTTCTTAAAAATTACAGCACACACACTTCAGTACATAAATATGGGTTATCCCAATATTATACTGATTAAATATATTATACTCACATTTCAACTATTGTATCCTCTTCACCCATCTTGAAGGCCAGAGGGTACAACAATCAAAATATTGAGACTATAACAAGAGGATACTATTTCAGATAATGGTGCAATAATGACACTTCCTCATCTCAGAATTCCAACTTTAAGAAATAGACAATACAAAAATAATATACCACAGAAATCATTTAAGACATTTGACAGGTATTTACATTCTAGCAGAAGATGTTAGATTACAGTTGTACCAACAAGAAGCATAGTATTTCCTTCATATTGACTTTCAATTTCTTTATAAACCAAAAAAGTTGTGCAGAAAATATTGTAGTATTTACATTCAAAACTGTCTATAAAAAAAAATGAAAAATATGGCAAACTTTAATTTTTGAAAACAAAAAATTAAAAAGAAAAAGTGTTCCATTACATTTTATTTCAATATACATAATGAAATGAATTTCCAAAGTTATTCCTGTTCCATAAATATGATAGTAGGTAAACTTTTGTTGAATGAACCCCAGTAAAGTTATGGCAATATTGATTAGAAAACACAGCCTTCAAGGGGCTCAATCAACAACATTTAATTTTATTTTTTCAAAAGTAAAATTTATTCTTTACATATGAATACAAAGTTTTCCAAACTCAATAAAATCATATGAAATGCTCCAAATTATTACATGAGGCAATGGAGTTTGAATGTTTTTTTTTTAAATAAATTGACTATACTGATTCTGTACTCAGAATTGTCTTCACAGATTAGGCTTTTTTTTGTAGAAAATTTTTGATCTCTAAGCTAAAAACTATGCTGTTTTAGTAATAACACACTAATAGCAAGTCAAAAAAAATGGGATACCAGATGACAAGAGCAGAGGTCTGGTTTAAAATGTCAGTAGTTCCTCTAGGCAAGTAAAAGTTAAAAGTACCAAGAGAGAAATCACAGCAGTTTAAATATTATCTAATGGCCTAATCCACCCTGGGCAGGAGGGGATGCAAGTCTATGCTCCTGCTGCTCCCACTGCTGATAGGAACAGTCCATTAAGTTGGGAAGAGGGAATAACTGGTTATACCATTTACAATAAACAATAGTTAACAATTTAATTCCTTTTCTTATTTAAAAGTAAACATTATTCTGCCATCTCTCTATTATTCAGACAGTCTATCAATGTAGTAAGGTGAGGCACCTCTTTTAGTTAGATAGTTATCAATTTGATCATTAGACTTCACCCATGTTATTGAACAGATTTCTCCCTTATCTAACATTTCCTTGATACTTCTTTCTATTCTCAACATCTTATCTGCAACAAGTTTAGTTGATTTGATTGCTTGGACCAAATCACTGTTATCTACAAAACACTTGATGAGTATGATCTTTTGTTAATTATTATTTAACAACTTACCTAAGAGCCTTGAGATACTGAATGCATTGTCAATAACTTCCAATAGAGCTAGTGTCTCATTGGCTAATGTACTTTTTTCTTCATTTTGTGGGATTGCCATGATATTGGATTCATCTTCTGATCATCTCCTTTGGTGATTATAAAATGTCCTCTTTGGCTGTCACTGTTATTCAAATTTTCAAATGATGCACATCCGTAAAAACATGTATTTCTAGGTTCTTGCCAAAATTTTGATATTTCAAATAAACATTGTCAGATTTTAAACCATCAACTGTACAATGTGTTTATTCTACCAGCCAGATATGTCACATCAAACGCAATATCAGGGCATGATTGTTTGGAAATCCACAAGAGTTGACCAAGCTTAGCACAGTTTTCTCATCCTCGGATAAGTGTACTGTTTTCTCCCTTTTGTCTAATTTCACTTCCGTTATCTTTTTATTGTAATCCTTCTGTGTTAACATGATACACATATCTTCTTGACTCCGATTCAATCCAATATATTTGAATGAACTTGTTGCTTCTTTTCCAATATCAAATATATTTCTGATTTTTGACAGTTTTTTTTTTTTAATTTATCACTTCTTGCCGATAAAAAAAAAAATCAAAAAAAATCATCAACTTGCATGGAAAATATTCCATACAGGCCCTTATCAAACCAATAAAATATTGCTGGATCATTCTCAGATATCTGTCCTTTGAGTCTTAAAATAGTTGTTTTCACCTTTTGATACCAGTGCAATGATGCATTTGCTAAATCATACATACAATTCCTTAATTTCCAAATCTTTTTAGTACATGCTTCTGATGGGGTCTAATGTAGACATTCCCATAAAATTCTTTACCTTTTTATGTATTTCTTCTTGACAATCTTCATCAAATCTTTTTGCTACCAACCTAGATTTTAACTTCATTTTGTCACTACCATTTTTCACTGTATTTTATCCACCTAGATGACATGCGTTTTTGTACTTTATCCTCTACTTCTAAAACTTCCAGTTCTTTCTATTTTCTCAGCTCATCTCTGCTTCTGAAAAAAAAAAAAAAAAATCAAGATTTGTTGATATGTATAACTCTTCTGTTTATATTTCCATCAGTTTCATATTCAGATTCTTCACACTTGATAAATTAATAGACATACTTGTTTCTTTTATATCATTAGGTTTTATATATTCAGTATTGTACCAGTTCTTTGTCTTGGTAGATGCTTTTCCAGCCAGTCAAAGAATTTTAGCTTCATGCTCTATTCTATTTTGCGCAAATGAGAATGGAATTATTTGATCTTTCTGAACTTTAATAACATTGGGGTTCACTTGTCTAACAAATGCTCATCTATCCTTCTCTAAGTTGGCATTAACTCCAAAATCTTCATCTTTTGTTTCACTGTCTTTATATTCATCTCTAGGAAAATTGTCATTGTTCCCAGTACCATTTCCTGCAGTATTTCCTTGTCTTCATCATCATCACCACTTTCTATATTATCAGTTGTTTTATTATTATGACTATCTTTTGATTCTAAAGCTCTCTAGAGTCTACTTTCAGGCATGTGAACATAAGTGCCTCCATATCTTAGTATCACAACTACATTGTCTTTTCCTATAATTCAACCTGGCCCTTTCCATTCACTATCTCTTAAGAAGAACATATTTTCACTTTGAAGTCTTCTCCTTTAGGTCTTATTTGTTATAGGCTTTCCATGCTTCTTGTAAACCTGTGAGATGCATTTTCATCACTTCAGCAATAGTTTTATCTTACAGAACGGGGGGGGGGGGTTGTTGATAATATTAGATGGTAAATTTGAATTCTTGCCATATACTATCTGATATGGACTAAATCTTTGCATTCTCAGCACAACTTGTAGCAGTTTCCCATGAAATAAGATTTTCTTTAACCATTTTAATGATTTCTGTCAGGATTGCATTATGGTGCTCAACAATATCATTTGACCATGGGGAATAAACTTCAGTCATTTTGAGTGATAGATTCAACTTTTCAGCCATTCCTTGAAATGTCTTGAACTCAAGACCATTATCCGTAAAAAGACCAATTTCAGGTACACCATAAATAGCAGCTCAATTCTGCATAAACTTATCTACAATGATACCTGCTTCTTTACTAGAGATTATAACAGCCATACTTAATCTACTAAACAAGTCAATCATATGTAAATACCAGAAGCCAGTTCCAAGTTCATGAAGGTCAGGAGCAATTACTTGATTAAAATCATTTACTGGATCAAAGCCAAATAGCACATTTCTTGTAAATATACTTTAGAAGGTTTTCAGTTTTCTGATCAACTTTACCTGCTGTTTTTAATATATTTAAATTTTTCCTGTGAAGCATAACCAAATTGTTTATGCAGTTTCAAAGGTGTATTTCTTTTGTCACTTCTTTCCATGTTGCTATCAACTATGAGAACAGTATTTTCATCATTGGTAGTTTCCTTATCATTTCTCATGATGTTCACACAATAGTGTCCCATTGATGTCCTTTGAAGGTTTACTTTCTGATCAAACATCATTACATGATCTTTTCCAATGTCATAAATGCTCCTGCCTTAACTAGAGATTTCTTAACAGCAGTGGAAGTTTACACTCTACAACTTCTGTTTTTATATTATTATTACATAAACAATTGTCAATTTTTGCTGGGATGATGATTTAAATGGCATATGACTTCTCATTTTTGACAGACTTTAATTCTTCAAAAGAGTGAATCGAGCATGGAATGTGACCATCCTTACCATAAACTGTCTTGGTATGTGCAGTGTCTACAATTGCTGCAATCTGAGCTTCCTTTACCAAAATATTTTGTCCAGCAGTTTAGCTTCTGTCATCAGTCATATAAACTATCTGCTCTGAATGTTTCTCTATATCGATATTTTTCTGTCATATTAACATCTTTGTTAACATATAGACAGTCCTTTGCCCAGTGATATGTTGATTCACAGACATCTTAATACAATTCCAGTAAATACAGGATTCATTCTTCCAAGGCTTCTTCCAATGGTCCTTCTACTGCATCCTTATCTCCACTTCATTATTGATCTGCAATTCTGTTTTAGCAGTAGTAAATATCCTGGTCAGAACATTTTTCATGGTTTCATACTTCATTTGTGGGCAATGTTGTTAAAGCCAACTGTTTTTGTTATTCACTAAGATTTGCATTGTATAGCAATTTTAGGGCCAATAATGCATCAGTGTCAATTTTTAAATTGGTACATTTCTTATTTAACTGTTCACACATGCAGTCTAGCATTGACATTTCCTCAGTTTTCTTAAAAAATTTTTGTATAGGCTTCATACAATTGATATGTCTTTTCCTTTTCAAATAATTTATTCAATTCTGTTAGAACATTTTTAACACCATCATTAGTCATTATGAGAGATTTATCTATAGCTGTGACAATTTCTTGTGCTTTTCCTTTCAAGGAGAGTGCCAGTGCTATACCTTGTCTTGTTTTGTCCATTTCAGTAAACATTTGCCATAATTCAATTTCCACTGGGAATAGTCTTTGTTACCAAATGTGGATGGATGTTTGTAAGTTGGTCTGGTTTAAAATGTCAGTAGTTCCTCTAGACAAGTAAAAGTTGAAAGTGCAAGAGAGAAATCACAGCAGTTTAAATAGTATCTAATGGCCTAATCCACTCTGGGCAGGACGGGATACAAGTCTAGGCTCCTGCTGCTGCCACTGCTGATAGGAACAGTCTATTAAGTTGGGGTGGCTTGGTTTGCTTTACTTATGGCATATCAACCTCAAAGGGTTATTTAATGCCAACAAAATATTTTTTGGGGGTTTAGTTTGTCTCGTTTTACTCAATGGGTTATTTAATGCTGACAAGATTTTTATTCCTGGTAATATTTTGTTTGTAATAATTTTTCCTTCAAAAATGTATTGCTGGTAATTTTTTTTTCTTCAAAAATTTATTTATGATAATTTTCCCCTCAAAAATGCATTGCTGATATTAAAACCTATTTTTACACCTCCACAGCATTTTGACTCCAGTTTGGGGGTCTACTATTTGCCCACAGCTGGGACCCCTAATAGGTGCTTCCACCCTGGGTCAGGGTGAACCTAGGAACACCAGCAATCAATAGGTGGTTCCATGCTCTTCAAAACCTCCTGATCAAAGGCTTTGCTGTCAGATGTAGTTTAATGTCTTAAGAGACTAAGTTGTATAAATAGTTACAACAAACAATAGTTAAAACCAGATGCACTTCTTGCAGTCTTACTTGCCACCTCAACATTGGATCTGGGTGCTCTAAGGGGTTCTCATTGGACAGGTCAGAGACCAAACTGATTTATTAAGGCCAATTCAACCCAAATTTAATAGTGAGTACTGCCAGTTTCTACAATAGGAGACCAGCTCAGAACACAATTACAAGAGCAAATGTCTCAAACATTTCTGAAGATTGTCTAAAGTTTAAAATATCGCAGAAATGCCTTTTTAAAAACCAAAAGTAACTGTTTTTAACTGACAGTAGCCATGTTTATGTGATTGACGAATGTTGACAAGCAACGAAAAGGTGATAACATTGATTGTTGTTCTATATAGACTATTTGTAAAACATAATATAAAATGAAGTGAGCAACTTTATATATATAATTTTTTAATACACTTAAAAATGTTGGAAAATATTATCTGTAATCTGATTTTAGGAAATGTCTTTAAATTTACTGTAGTCATCACTCTTATTCTCTGATAATGTTGTGCATGGCTGCCCATACTTTAAAAATGGGCACGTTTATACACAAATTAAAAATTATTTTTAAAATCTTGGTGCCAAATGATTTGTATTAAGCTTTTCAATTTTTGATTAGTAAATTGAGTTTTTACTTAATAACAATACTACCTAACACAATTAAAATAATGCAGAATTTGAAAAGATATATATAAATTATAATTAAAATTAAAAAAAATGAAAACAATTCTTGTAAAAATTCATTAGTCAATGAAAAATATTTTCTTAAGACAATAGCGTCCATAATAAATTTTATTTATAAAAGCAGTTAAAAGCTTTTCTAATTAAAGTCATTTTATTTTATGGTTCAGCCCAGATTTTTAGAAAATGAGTAGCAGCTTGAAAAAAAAAAAAAAA